AGATTAAATAGTCAAGTCTCCTGAGACCTTGATGATCATGATGGTAGTTAGATATATATATTACATATATATATACACATATATAAACCTATTCAAAAGGAACTGTGTCAAAAGTGTTTAGACTCTTAGAATAGGCTAGGTCTTCTTAAACAGGACATAAACTGAAAAGGCCATTATGGAAAAACTCTACTATATCATACACTTGAAGAAAACGTCAGTAAGACAAAAGATACAAAAACCAGAGACTGGAAAACTACGAGTACAGATCGGGGATGCTGTATTTTCATTGTTTTTAACTGGAAAGAATATATTTTTCAACTCCTAAAAATTACTGAGAAAGAGACAACCAATGCAACTGGGAGAAAAAAAAAGAAACATGTAAAGAATGTGTACAGACCATTCATGACAAACACTTAAGAGATGGTTAGCACCATTAATAACTAGGGAAATGCCACAGAACACAATGAGACTGATAAACTCGCAAAGCTTAACAAACTGAAGAGGCACTGACATATAACGAAATGGGTATTTGTAATACTACTGATGAATACATCAATTTGCACAGCCACTTTGACAGGATCTTTCTGAATTCTTTAAAATTAAATAAATGAACACAGGAATTCCACTTGTCATGATCTGATCTGGGAAACACATGTATGTAAGCATAAAGAGGAAAATGCAATGCTATCTACTCTTGTGATGGTAAGAACATTTTGGGAGAAACTTCTCATTAGAATGAAAAGGAAAAGATGCAGCTAAACAATGGAACCTCACATGTAATTTGGGTTGACTGTGGTCAATTCATGTAAACAATATGAAAATATTATCAGGACATACTGTTGAGTGACAAGAGCACTAAAGAAAAATAAATATGATACTTTACCATTTAAAAAAATTCATGAGACAAGTGCTCGGGGCTGGTGCACTGGGAAGACCCAGGGGGATCGGGTGGAGAGGGAGGTAGGAGGGGGGATGGGGAATACATGTAAATCCATGGCTGATTCATGTCAATGTATGGCAAAAACCACTACAATATTGTAAAGTAATTAGCCTCCAACTAATAAAAATAAATGGAAAAAAAATTCATGCAAAATAAAAATATATATACAACTATATATGGGGTCGGCCAAACAGTTTGTTTGAGTTTTTCTGTTTGATGTTATGGAAATTCCAAACGAATTTTTTGGCCAACAAATTATTATTGTGTCCATTCATAGAAGAAACTCCTATACCAAAGTGATCTAACGAATAATAAAAATCTTTGGTATCATTTGGGAAAATATAGGAACAGAGGTGACAACTAAGAGTAACATATCTCCATCTGTATTGTTTACATTTTTAATATACATACTCAAATGGCATTGCTGTAATTATTTTTTCAATTTTAAAAAAGAAAAACAGAAGAAAATTATTTGTTCTGTAGCCATAACTAGCCATGTGTATTACTGCCATATACATTTGTTAAAGACCACAAAGTTTACTTTCTTTGGTGAATTATAATACAAATATTGTCACTTCTCTATACATATATACATATTTACATACACAATGCAAGAATGCATACATACATGTGTGTGCAGCTAGTTTGATTGAAAATGAATGTTTAAAACAATCATTTACATTTAATTTCATGTTAAATTTGCATTCCTAAAAAGATGAACTTAAAAATTATTTCCTTGAATCATATTTTCAATGCACTAACAGAGTTATTTTAAAAAATAGCCTATGGTGAGTTATTTTATAAATTAATAAACACTCTCCCCAAATGCTTGATTTATGAATGTGAGTTTTTTACATCAACTTTACTTAGTTGAAGATAGACTTGCAGGTAACTTTGGTCTTCCTGTTCCCTGTCTTTCAGATAAAATATAGCTAATCTATATGGATTATTTTTATTATATTCTTGGACCATTTTATTCTTATAAAAGGTGCTGTCAGAATATAAGCCTATCATATAAATACCAAAGAGTCTTCATAGATTTTTTTTTTCTTCTGAATCACCAAGATCTACTTGGAAAACTGTTTGAGAGCAATTGCTATATTAGTTTTCATATTTTAATTTTCTTACCAAATATTTGAATATATTTGATAAGTACCAGTGCTTTCTGAAGGACTTTAAGAATGTGTTTGAGGGGATTATATTAGAGGCCTCAGAGTAACTTGCAGATCTGGAGGGGTTTCCGAGGCTAAATGAATTCTTGGCAGGTTTATGAGAAAACCTTTTGGAAATATTTTGTAAGTTTATTTGTTAATCAGCAAATCTGATTTCTACTATATCGCCCTCAGTGAATAATTAGCTATTTTCTATGGCTACAATGCTCAGTTAAGAATGTTAAATTTTAATTATAGATTTTTATTGTTTTCCTTTAAAAAAGAAGAGTCCCAAGAATATGACTTTCCTTAAAGTAAAAGGTCATCCAATTTCAGGCCTTTACCTGTCAATAGTTAAGTCTCCTGAGACCTTGGTGATCCTCATGGTACTTAGAGGAAAGTAAAATATTCTAAGTAGTATTAAAGGCCATCTTTTCCTTGGACAGGTGGGAGGTAAAGCCCAGGTATGACTGTAGAATCCAGTATATCTTCATTTTAAATATCATTCTTGTTTTCTCTCCAAAATCTGTTGATAACCATATTCTCAGAGGAGAAGCTGGGAGTCAAGCTGCAAAGTTTCCTCAGAAGTTAGGAAAACTAGTCACAGTTAAGTGGAATAAAAATCTATATCCACAAAGCCATTTTCATGACCCGTTTGAAATATGTTTATTATTTGGAAAAGTCCAAAGAAGAGAATGATACAAATGAAGAAAAATTCATTGAAAATTCAAATGTGAGTAGTCACGTGACAAAGAAATGTTTTTGAATACTCACTAACAGAAGATAAAAATGCCTTTATTTAATTTAATAAAGAAAGTTATCACTTACTTCTTATGCTGTCTAACGAAGTGCAAAATAAATCTACCAACCCAACAACTTTCCTTCACAGTTCAGGGAAAATAATTGAAATACCTCAGTAATCATACAGCAAGAAAATATGTCCCAAAGTTGACATACAACATGTACAAGATAGAAAATGGAAGTGTCCCATAATTCCATGCTCAAAAGATAGTAAATGCAAATAATTTGATGTGGATTCAGCAGATATCTTTCAAAGATAGAAATAGAAGTATATAAATACGTGGCTTTCCTTCCAATTAATCCTTTACTCTCTGAGTCATTCTGAGAGCATACAAGTGGAGGAGAAGACAACATTTCTTAAGAGCTGAAAAGAAGATTAGGTTGGGAGATAGAGAATTCCAGTCAAGTAGAGCAATATTGGAAAATGAATTAGCTCTTTGGCCAACCTAAATATAGAAAAAAAAGTTATGTATTTATTTGGCCATTTACTTTGGCTAAAAGCATACATATTGACCCTCCCAACTATTAACCTTTTTCACTAACAGAGCATTTGAATTTCTTTAATTAACTGTGCTCAAAAGCCCAATACATTCATAAAGAAGGGAGTCCATAACACATAGTGGGGATGCCAGATCTTGTTTTCAACCATTTTAGCTCGAGCTGAAATTATTACTTTCAAAAAATTTCTAACTCTTCATCTCCATGCTTCTCATTTGCTTGATCTACATCATGTTAAAATAAACCAATCTACGCATAACAATTAAAAAAGTGAGCTATGTATAGTGGTGTGAACAGAACGTCTGCTCTTTTTTTGGGTGAAAAACTTATTTGATGAGAGTCAGCTTGGGGATAATCTCATCAATCCTCAAACCGAACCATGAGTGGTCCTCTCTTATGAAAATGAGCTGAGAAAGGGAAAGATGCTTGATGATGGACATTAGTGATGCTAGGGTTTCTTTTTCATAAGGAGTAATTTTTAAACAGTAGAAATGCACTTTGCTCATCTCAGACTAGAATATGTCTATTTCTTTTATCACCACGAAAAACTGAGTTAGAAACTACAAGAGAATCAAACATGTGCAAAGAGCCCATAGTGTAAATAGGACCTCATAGTATTTTAATAAAAAAGTACAGTGGATAATTTTCTAGGGTGTGCCGCTCAGGCCCCTCTTTAGGATTAAGAACACGGAGACTTGCCCGCTGGTGGCTCACAAGTGAGTCCCACTCTGAAAATCTCCATCTGCCAAATGAAACTGCTTCCCCCAAAGTTAAGGCCCCTCTTCAAAGGCAGCCTGCAGCCCATGCTGGGTCTACGAGGATATATAAACGTCCTTCTCCCTTGCTCTGTGCAGTTGAGGACAACTCTAGAGGACCAGTTCAATAAATTTCCTGCACATAAACCTCTTTTTCAGAATGATTTCCTATGGAATCCAATTTAGGATAGACTTTGACATGAGGACTATTTCTTTTTAGCGGTTCATCTGGAGTGCAGAGTCCCTAAATGTCATCTAAATTTAACAACTCAAAAGATGCAGTAAAACCCTATTATTTAACAGTAAGAAGAAAAATCAACAAATAAATACAGAAATTACTAAAATTGTACCTTTGGGACTGAAATAGAAGAACCTAACTTTTCATTATTTTCACAAAGCTTTGCTTGTGTTCCAGCTGGTAAAGAATCCGCCCACAATGAGGGAGACCTGGGTTCAATCCCTGGGTTGGGAAGATCCCCTGGAGAAGGGAAAGGCTACCCACGCCAGTGTTCTTGCCTGGAGAAATCCACGGACTGTGTAGGCCATGGGGTCATGAAGAGTTGGACATGACTGAACGACTTTCACTACCACTAGCTTTCCATTATAAGACCTTCTGTGCATGCATGGTGCATATATTACTTTAAATTGTGTAAGGATATGTAGGAACTGGTTAAAAAAAATGCATGTATTTCTGCTTCCTACTTTAAAAAATAACAGAAAATTCTATGAAGTACCAACAAGGGTGAAGCCAAATGGTAGAATTCACTGCCTCAAATACATGGTGCAATGACTTAAAATTTGGTTTAAAGGACTTCCCCAGGGGTCCAGTGGTTGTGAATCTGCCCTGCAATACAGGGCAGGTGGGTCCAACCTCAGGTCAGGGAAACGAGATCCCACACGCCGTGGAGCACCGAAGGCCGCACGCGGCAGCTACCGACGTCTGCGTGCACTGGACCCCTGCACCTCAACCCGAGTGTTCACCACCACGAAAGGCCCTGCGTAACACAAGGGAGATCCTGCCTGCCCAGCGAGGACCTGACACGGCCAAACGAGCAAATGCCTAAATGCATACAGAAGTTTCGTTTAAAACAAACAAACATAAGACTATCAGTCATCAAACACGGAAGGGGGTGAACGTCACACGGCGGCAGGCGAGGAGGAGAATGCGGGGTCTGATCTTGTTGCACGCATCTCCCGATCTTCCGCCTTTCAGGATTCCGTCTCACAATTTTATAAGCGCTATGCATGGAATAGGATAATTTTTTAAATAATTGAATAAAACATCCTAACATTTTCCCTCCAAACTCACCGTCGTCCCAACAGGAAACTAAGAGAAAATCCCATGAGTGAAAACTGTTCCTACTAAATTAGGTGTCAAAACGTGTGTGATTTACCATTTTTAGAGCCTCCATGCTAAGACCAGAGAAAGAGTTAAAGCTTAGTGATACCTCTCTTAGAAAGCAAGTAACATCCCTGAGTAGGGAAGTGAACCCAGGCACCAGACGCAGAACACCGGTCAGGAGAGGAAGCAGGGCCCAGGTCACCCTGCAAAGGCAACAGACAGCCCAGCTGAGCCGTCTCTCCCCATCAGCACAAACGCACACACACGCAGACACACACACAGATGCACACACAGAGATACAGACACACAGACACACACAGAGAAACACAGACACACACACAGAGAGACACACAGACACACACACACAGAGACACACAGACACACAGACACACACACAGAGAAACACAGACACACAGACACACACACAGATGCACACACAGACACACACAGAGAAACACAGACACACACACACAGAGACACACAGATGCACACACAGAGAGACACACAGACACACACAGAGAAACACAGACACACACACAGAGAGACACACAGATGCACACACAGAGAGACACACAGACACACACAGAGAAACACACACACACACACACAGAAACACACAGATGCACACACAGAGAGACACACAGACACACAGACACACACACAGATGCACACACAGAGAGACACACAGACACACACACACAGAGACACACAGACACACAGACACACAGACACACACAGAGAAACACAGACACACACACAGAGAGACACACAGATGCACACACAGAGAGACACACAGACACACACAGAGAAACACACACACACACAGACACACACACAGATGCACACACAGAGAGACACACAGACACACACACACAGAGACACAGAGACACACAGACACACAGACACACACAGAGAAACACAGACACACACACAGAGAGACACACAGATGCACACACAGAGAGACACACAGACACACACAGAGAAACACACACACACACACAGAGAGACACACAGATGCACACACAGAGAGACACACAGACACACAGACACACACACAGATGCACACAGAGACACACAGACACACACAGATGCACACACAGAGAGACACACAGACACACATACACACACAGAGAAACACAGACACACACACACAGAGACACACAGACACACACAGATGCACACACAGAGAGACACACAGACACACACACACAGAGACACACAGACACACACAGATGCACACAGAGACACACAGACACACACACACAGAGACACACAGACACACACAGATGCACACACAGAGAGACACACAGACACACATACACACACAGAGAAACACAGACACACACACACAGACACACACACACAGATGCACACAGAGACACACAGACACACACACACAGAGACACACAGACACACACAGAGACACACAGACACACACAGATGCACACACAGAGAGACACACAGACACACAGACACACACACAGATGCACACACAGAGAGACACACACACACACAGACACACACACAGACACACAGACACACACAGAGAAACACAGACACACACACAGAGAGACACACAGACACACACACACAGAGACACACAGACACACAGACACACACACAGATGCACACACAGACAGACACAGAGACACACAGACACACACAGATGCACACACAGAGAGACACACAGACACACACACACAGAGACACACAGACACACAGACACACACACAGATGCACACACAGAGAGACACACACACAGACACACAGACACACACAGAGAAACACAGACAGACACACAGAGAGACACACAGACACACACACAGAGAGACACACAGACACACAGACACACACACAGATGCACACACAGACACACACAGAGACACACAGACACACACAGATGCACACACAGAGAGACACACAGACACACACACAGACAGACACACAAACACACACAGAGACACACACAGACACACAGACAGACACAGACACACAGACACACACACAGACACACAGACACACAGACACACACAGAGAAACACAGACACACACAGATGCACACACAGAGAGACACACAGACACACAGACACACACACAGACACACAGACACACTCACACTGACACAGACAGATGCACAGACACAGAGACACACAGACACACACAGACACACAGACACACACAGAGACACACACAGACACACAGACACACTCACCCAGACACACAGATGCACACACACAGAGGCAGACACAGAGACACACACACAGAGGCAGACACAGAGACACACAGACACAGACACACACAAACACACACACAGACACACACAGACACACAGACACACACAGACATACACACAGACACACAGACACACACACACCGACTCACACAGATGCACAGACACAGAGACACACAGACAGACACAGACACACAGACACACACAGACACAGACACAGACAAACACACACACACAGACACACACAGAGAAACACAGACACACACACACAGAGACACACAGACACACACACAGATGCACACACAGATGCACATACAGATGCACACACAGAGAGACACACAGACACACAGACACACACACAGACACAGACACACACAGACACACAGACACACAGAGAGAAACACAGACACACACAGACACACACACAGATGCACACAGAGAGACACACAGACACACACACACAGAGACACAGATGCACACACACAGACACACACAGATGCACAGACACAGAGACACACAGACACACACAGACACACAGACACACACAGAGAGACACACACAAACACAGAGACACACACAGACACACACAGAGACACACACAGACACACAGACACACAGACACAGACACACAGACATACACACAGACACACAGACACACTCACCCAGACACACACAGATGCACACACACAGAGGCAGACACAGAGACACACACACACAGACACACAGAGACACACACACACACAGACACACACACACACAGACACACACAGACACACAGACACACACAGAGACACACAGACACACAGACACACACACAGACAAGCACAGTCTTGGAACTATACGTTGCACTGTAAAAACAGACCTTGAATCAAATAGTGTCAAGGAAAATGCACCCACAGTGTGTAAAACAATGACATTTTAAGATAACTCCCCATATTAAGTAAGAAGAAGATGAAAAGAAATGGCGTGCGAAATAGTCTGAAAAAAGGCAGGAGGAAGAGGAGGAAAAGGAAGAGGAACAAAGAAGGGAAGAAGGAAGAAGAGAGGAAGGGAAAATGAGAGGGAGGGTAGGGAAGGAAGGGAACACAGCAGGTGAACGGTCTGGGAAGAATCTATTCACAGCTGGCTTGATGTTCAAAAATCAATCACTGTAATTCAGCATATTAACAAACTAAGAAAAGAGAAACCATTTGATCAGATCATCTCAAAAGAGGCAGAAAAAAATCATCTAACAAACTGCAGCAGCCATTCATGATAGAAATGGTCAGCAAACAAATAGATCAGGAGATCTTCCGCAAGACGCTTCACTTGAGCAGTCCCAGGGGAAAGGTCTCGCAAGGTCCAGGAAGCCTAAGGAGCGGAAGGAGGCGGGGGAGGGCAGGCATCGCCAGGCCATACCTACATCACGCCTCATCCCCGTGCACGCGTGCAGCCCGCGGTCTCCTTAGAAGGAGCATGGTCCTCCACCAGCGGGCTCCTTAGGAAGGTGGGAGGCCCGGTCTCACGGGCTGAAGCAATGGCGGAACCCACCCAGTGTGATAATGGACAGTTACACTTCTGTGTTCAAATCTCCTAGAACCCTAAAACCCTATCCATTTTCTACTTCTTCTGAACTTCTATTGAGATAGCTTTATCTCCTTTTCTTAGGCCACTTCTTTGGCTTTCATTTGTGTTTGTTTTATGCTATTCAACCATAAACCCTTGGGGACAGGCTTGTGCGTTGGTCATCAATATATTTCCCCAGGGTGAGGACGCAATCCTTTCTCACAGGTGTTTGTTTTTAAAACACGAATAAAATGACCCCAAAAGGGACAGAGCCATAAACTAAAAGTAAGACGTCTTGAATTCTAAGCCTGCCTCAGTCGTTAACCAGGTCTATGACCCTGTAGTGGTGTCTGCCTCTTTGAGTTTTGAGGGTTTTCTTTTATTTAAGTGAAAGAGTTAGAATTAACTGCAAGGTCTTACGATTCCTGCCATCTGTAAACTTGTGCTTTGTTACGAATTTTACTTAAAAACAAATTCTCTTTTAGATACACGAATAGGGCCCTTGTTGTTTTTGCCAGATGTTGTCTTCACCCCAGAGACAAGGGGTGGGCAAGATACAACCCAGAAAATGGGTCTCTGATAAAAACCGTAGTGATGACCTGCCCAGGTGTTTAAAGTAGGTCACTTGTGGGGGTTGCCCACGACCCTGTGGTGAGGCTGAAGATCAGAGGGCCCACGAAACTGGGGGAAGAGAAACATCACAGGTGTGTCTGCAGCTAAAGAATCTCGTGCTGCAGACCACTCTGCAGTCTGGAAGGGGAGAGGAGAAGCTGCCAGATCAATATGGCCTTTGTAGAGACGGAGTTTACACGGGAACAGTTGCCAGTGTGGGGCTGGCCTAATGATTTTATCTCCATCTCTGACTTCCCTCCAGTGAATCTTGTAAGGGAACCAGCTACCTGATCCTTTAATCCCACTAACATTTTATAAAAGAAGATTCAAATTAG